GCCGGACGCGGAGCCGCCAGGAAGCGCGGGAGGGGGGCGGGCCCGGGGGGGGGCGGACCGCCTGGTAACCCCTCCCTGTCCGGGCCCGGTCCGGGGCGGGGCAACCCGCTGACCCCCTCACCCCGCCCGGCCTCCGCCCTCCGAGCCCTTCCGAGATCTGCGCTCCCCGGGCTCCCAGGGGAGTCTCCGCCCCCGACCCCGCGCCCCCCAGGCTGAGCCGAGCAGCTCCCGCAACTTCCGCGAGGGGGCAGGGGCGGGGTCACGAAATGGGCCCTCATGGCCGGGGGCGGGGCTTCTCCTCAGGGGCAAGATAAGGCATCCCGAACTGGGACTAGCAGGACACCGGGTGGGGGTTATTAAGGCTGGGGGTGGAAGATGCCCAAGGTATTGGGGTCAGAGTGGCATTAGCCCAGCTCAAGTCGGGTGCCGCTGACGCAGCATCCTGGCCGGGCCAACCCCAGCCCCGACAGCCCTGCACTGCCTCTGGCAGAGATGGGAGATGGCGCCAGTGCTGCCCCTGGTGCTGCCCCTCCAGCCCCGCATCCACCTGGCGCAGGGGCTCTGGCTCCTCTCCTGGCTGCTGGCACTGACCAGTGGCCTCACCATCCTCTGTAGTGGGCACCTCCTGGTCCAGCTGAGGCCCCTTGGCACCTTCCTGGCTCCCTCCTGCCCGTTCCCTGCTCTGCCCCAGGTTTCCCTGGCAGCAGGGGCAGTGGCTCTGGGCACAGGCGTGGTGGGTGCAGGAGCCAGCCGGGCAAGTCTGGATGCGGCTCGATACCCTCCCTGGCGAGGGGTCCTGGGCCCGCTGCTGGTGACCGGCACTGCCGGGGGTGGAGGCCTCTCGGTCTTCGCCCTGGGGCTAGCCCTAGGTTTGCCTGGGAGTCTGGGCGAAGGGCTAGAGGAGGGCCTGGGGACTGCCTTGACTCGCTACAAGGACACAGAGGTGCCCGGACACTGTCATGCCAAGCGGCTGGTGGACGAGCTGCAGCTGAAGCACCACTGCTGCGGGCGTCATAGCTACAAGGATTGGTTTGGGATCCAGTGGGTCAGCAGCCGCTACCTGGACCCCAATGACCAGGATGTGGCTGAGTGAGTGATTGGCTTCTTCTCTACCTCCCCCTGGACAGGCTCCCTCCTGCTGCCTTGAAACCCTCCTCATCCAAATGGGCAATAGAGCCTAGCATTCTAGAGACTGGATACTGGTCTGTTTATTAGCTGTGTGACCCAGGACAGGGCATGTTACCAAACCCCTCTGAGCCCAGTTCCTCATCTGTAAAATGGAGCTAATACTAGTACCTGTCACACAGGCGTGTTGTAAAGATAAACGAATGATTGCATGCCTGATATACAGTAAAGCCGTCAGTAGACGTTTTTACTGTCATTTGTCCCTTCTCAGCTCCTGGGCCCCCCAGCTTCTCCCCTAGTCCTCTGTCTCTAGACATCTTAACACCTCGCCCTCCCTTTGCAGCCGGATCCAGAGCAATGTAGAAGGCCTATACCTGATCGACGGGGTTCCCTTTTCCTGCTGCAACCCCCACTCACCCCGGCCTTGCCTGCAAAGCCGGCTCTCAGATCCCTACGCCCACCCCATCTTCGATCCCCGGCAGCCCAACTTAAATCTCTGGGCCCAAGGGTGCCACGGGGTACTGCTGGGGTATCTGCAGGGCTTGGCAAGCACCCTGGGCAGCATGCTGGCTGTCACCTTCCTGCTACAGGTGAGTCAGCAAAGCGTCCGAGGCCTCCCTCCATCTGGCCCTCACTGCCTCCAACCTAGACCCCCTGGGACTGCTGACCCTCCTTGACCTCTGCTCCCTTGTTTCCCCCACAGGCTCTGGTGCTCCTGGGCCTGCGGTACCTGCATACGGCGCTGGAGGGGCTCGGCGGGGTCATCGATGGGGAAGGAGTGACCCAGGGCTATCTCTTTCCTGGTGGGCTGAAAGACACACTGAGAACAGCCTGGCTGCAGGGAGGGGTTGCCCACAGGCCAGCCCCTGAGGAGGCCCCACCAGAAGAGGCACCTCCTGAGGAGGGTCTGCCTGCAGCCTAGTGGCCTGGAGCTTGGGGTGAGGTGGGGGCATATCTGGAAGCCTCACAACCCCTTACCAAGGCTCCCAGTGAGGGTCCCTGGGATTAGAGGGAGGAGAGTAGTCAGCCAGCTGAACTGGAGTGAGGGAGGAAACCAGGAGTCCTAGGACCCAGATCTATGTGGCAGAAACCACCAGGGAAGAGAAGGAAACTGGGTGATGGGAAGTGGCATGGAAAGGACTGGAGACCACTTGTGGAGCACAGACTCAATAAAGCTTTGGGACTGAAGCCACTGTCCTTCTCTTCAAGGGGGCAGGGCCCTGAGACAACTGACTTCTGTCTGATGGAGAAGCCAGGTCTCCAAGGTTTTGACCCTGGCTCGACCTGGGCAGCAACTGGTGCCCACGTAGATGTGAGATAAGATTGCCAAGAACCAGACTGCTAAGTGAAGGTCAGAGAGGCCCCTCCAGATTGAGATTCTTTATTCCAGAGGTAGGAGGGGGGTCAGCATGCTGAGGTGGGAGGGTCCAGCCCAGCTCCTCCAGCCCCCCAGTGCATGCCCAGCCCCGATAAGTTACCCAGTTACTCAGCTGCCCTCCCTCTTGAGTCCATCTGTCCTTCTGCTCTGCCCCACAGGGCTGACCTGGCTCAATACAAGGGCCACTTGTCCCCAGCCTGTGGGCAGCACCACGTGGCAGGCTGGGGGAGAGGAGAAGCAGCTGGGCCACGCCCTGGGGCTGGAGGGGCAGAGGGGCCGCCGGGCTCAGAGGGGTCAGGACTTGGAAAACCACATCCTGGGCAGGCCAGGCGCCCAGTCCCACAAGGTCTGTGCCTGCGATGAGGTGGTAGTCAGGGTGCGGTGGCCGCTGTCACACCTCCATGGCTGGGTCAGAGCCCCGGCCCTGCCGCTGCAGCTGCTCCTCCTGCTTCATCTTGGGCTTCTCTGTCCGTGTGTGCCACACCAGCACCTGTGCCAGGAGGGTTTCCATTAGAGCCGGGCCTGTGGAGCCCTCAATGTGGAACATTCTCTATGCCCTCTACACACACAGTGTTGGCTGCAGAGTGTGAAGAGCAGAACTGGGAAGGCTCTGGTGTCTAAAATGGGTCCTTACCTCTTACCCTCTCTGTGCTACAGGGGTCCCTAGACTCTGGGAGACAGAGTGGCAGGAGATCACTTTCCCTCCCCGACTCCCAGCTTCCCCTTCGAGTAAGCAAGATTGAATCAGAGATCTTGAAGGTTCCTCCTGGTCAATCGCTCATCTCTTTACCCTCCTCCCCAGGCTCTCACTCCCCTTCTGTCATCCCAGAGCCTGGCTTCTGAGCCTGCTTCTGTCCCCTCACCCGAGTGCAGTTGGCAGCCCGTGGCTCCAGGTCCTTGGGATCCACGAGGTGGCTCAGGAGACTGCTCTCCAGGTGGCCCCGGGGAGCAGTACCATCAAACTGGGCATTAGGCTTGGCCAACAGCAAGGGCAGGGCGACAGCAAATCCTGCCATATCCATGGGGAAAGGCCTGTTGGGTTCCCACGCTGTGTGGAAGCCCACAACCCGGCCATCCTGTACCCGCGGGCCCTCGAATCTCAGGCCGCCTACCAGCCCCACGGGCCACACTGAGACACCACGGGTCCAGCGCATCTATAGGAGGCCAGGAGAGAAGAAACAGAGACAAGGTGGCCCAGTGGAAAGGGAGCAGCAGGAAGGACCACGTGAGTCACTCTCCCCAACTGCTCCCTCCTCCTTTTCCCAGCAGCCACCAGCAACACTGGTAACCAAGGCAACAGATGAAACTGCCCCCACTTGGCCTCCTTCCCCATCCCCACCCCAGTGCTCACCTCCTCAAAGAGCTCCCTGCTATAAGTGTTGTCATCGTCAGCAAAGTACACGACTCCCCGGGTCCCTGGTGGCGGTGGGTCCTTCTCCCCACCTACAGCACCCCCACCACCCCGGAGCCAGTCCAGGGCCTTGTTCCGCTGCTCTACACCACGGGGCCGAACCCAGCCTGGCTCACCCTCCCGAAGCCGCTGGGCCTTGGGGGTGAGGACTGCCAGGTGTGTGAAAAGGAGGCCGGAGGCAGCTAGCAGCCCCGAGACCAGCGGGGTGGGGCCCTCAGCATCCTCCACCAGCAGCCAGTGCAGCCGGGGCACCAGACTCAGTGTCTGGGACAGGCGCACCAGCTCCGCTTTCTGCACCAGCCTGCAGGGGAGAGACAAGAGGGGAAGTGGAGGTACCATTTGCCCACTCCAGCTGGGACATGTGGCTTCTCCTGGGCCCCTTCTAGTACCCCCCATGGCCTGTTCCCAACCACTACCCAAACTTTCCACTGACACCTGCCCTGTCCCTCCAGTCCATGTCTGTCACCCACCTCAAGCCCAGGGCTTTGACTGTGGGAGACTCTAAGTTAAAGGCACAGGCTTTGACAGATCTGGATGTGAATCCCAGCTTTGTAACTTATTAGTTGAGATGCCTTGAGAAAATGGCTCAATCTCTCTAAGGCTCAGTTTCCTCGGCTATGAAGTGGGAATCGGAAGTCCTGTGGTGCAATGGGTACAAGCTCGGCTGCTAACTGAAATGGTGGTGGTTTGAACCCACCCAGAGGCTTCTCAGGAGAAAGAAGCAGTCATCTATCCTCATAAAGATTATACCCTAGGAAACCCTACGGGGCAGTTCTACTCTGTCACATGGGGTCGCGATGAGTCAGAATCGACTTCACGGCACCTGACAACGAAGTGGAAATAACAATATTTTCTAACAATGTTGTTTTAAAGATTAAATAAGATAATGACTTTCTAAAACACCAGTAGGCCAAGGTCCTTTTCCTCTGGGTTTCCAGGTGGCAAACTTCTATTAGAGGAGCCCTGGGGAGAATGAATGATTTAGCTGAGTTTAGAGACGAAGTGGAGTGTGTGGCTCAGCCTCTCTCCTGGGCTTCTTTATCCTTCAGATCTGCCTGCCTGTCCCAGGGTCAGTAGGGAGGGGGCCTGTGGTGGCCTGCAGCTGCCTGTGCCTGGGGTAGGTCAGTCACCTGATTCCAGGGAGGCGCGTTAGCCGACCCTTTTGGCTACAGATCCAAAACCATTCTCCAATTGGTTTTATCTGTAATAAAGCTATATTTTGATTTTTTAAAATTTTTAATGTAAATCACTTAGCACAGTGCCCGGCAGCATGTAAACACACCATAAATAATAGCTGGTATTAACTATTTCCAGACCCTGCTATGCCAAAGCCCTTTCAACTTCAATTTAGTCAGGCGTTCTCAAACTTTCTAGCCAAAGGCTCCCTAAGGAGAGAGAGTAAACTCACTAGCAAGGTCAAAATTTCTTTGAAGCTTTACTGTTCCATTTTAAAATTTAGCAGGAATTTTGTGTTCTACTTCATAGTACATCCATATCTATCTTAATAGACAACCATTTCCTCACTAATCTCTGAATAAAAATGTGCTTCATTTATCTTGATGCTTGGCACGTTCTAGTTTGAGGAACATCCTCTGGCCCAGTGGCTCCCCAAACTCCTCATCAACCCCAATCTCTTGGTCGATGCAGCCCTCCTGGGGCACCAGAGCCATACCTGGCATAGGTGGGGGTGACAACATAGATAGTAGGCAGGGCCTCGGGTTCAGGGGGCTGGGCAGGGGCAGGAGGTGGGCGTCGGAGATCCGCTTGCAGCTGGGAAATCTTCAGATCCTTCTGCCGAAGCTGCTCAGCCGCTGCCCGCAGGGGAGGGAGGCAGTCACATGGCTGGCCTGGTCCCAGGAGGCAGCGATGGGGGGAAACGGATGGGGGCAGAGAACCACAGCATGCTCAGCATCTCAAAGGACCTAACCTCATTCAACTCCTAGTCAAGGAATACCCTTACATCTCTAACAGCCTTTTCTAAACCCCTGGTGGCGGGGAACTCACTGCCTCAATTAACAGTCCCTGGGTGGTGCAGGGAGCCCTGGTGGCGCAGTGGTTAAGGGCTTGGCTGCTAACCAAAAGGTCAGCTGTTGGAATTCACCAATTGCTCCTTGGAAACCCTATGGAGCAGTTCTACTCTGTGCTATAGGGTCACTGTGAGTACAAATCGACTCAGCAGCAACAGGTTTAGGTGGTGCAAAGGGTCAATGAGTTCAGCAGTTAACTGAAAGGTCGGATGTTCGAGTCCACTCAGAGGTGTCTCAAAAGAAAGGCCTGGTGATCTGCTTCCAAAAAACCAGCCACTAAGAACTCCATACAGCACAGTTCTACTACACACATGGGGTTGCCATGAGTCAGAATCCACTGGACAGCAACTGTTTTTTTGGTTTGGTCTCCATCCTTAACAAATTTCATCCGTTACAATTTTCTTTTGGATATTGAGCTTATTAACTGCCTCCATCCTTTGTACCTGCTGGTCCTAGTTTTGCCTTCTGGAATCACAAAGAACAAGTCCATCTCTTTAAACAGGGCAATCTTTCAAATATCTGATTGGGGCTATCCCTAAATCTCTGCATAAGAGGTAGTGAGGGTTCGATCCGTCCCCTTGGCTGTGAGATCAAAGACTTGTCATTAAATTCATTCGTTCCATCTCTAGATAAATATTTATTGAATGATCCTACAAGTGAGGCACTGCCTTAGGTGCTGGGGATACAACAGGGAACAAAACAGGCATGGTTCCTGCCCTCATGGGGCATTCAGTTCGGTGGAAGAGGCCGACACGAAGCCAAGAAACAAATTAACCAAATCATTACAAATGGTGATAACGGCCACGAAGGAAACAGGACAGAGGATAAAGAGTTGGGAAGAGGAAGGGTTAATTTAGCTACGTGGTCGGAAAAGGCCTCTCTGAGGAGGTGACATTTAAGCTGAGACCTGAGGGATGAGGGGGCAGCCGGGAAGAGCCAGGAGAAAAGCTTTGCAGGCAGAGGGAACAGGTTAAGAGCTTGAGGGAGCAATGAGCATGAGGGTTTCGAGAAACCGTTAGGCCAGCCGAGCGGAAGCAGAGTGCAGGAGAGGGCTGGGAAATGGGGCTGGAGACGCAGACGCGCAGGATCATGCGGGGCCTTGCGGGCTGGGAAAGAGTTTGGATTTCATCCGAGGTGCGGCAGGGGGTGCGTCCGGGCCGCCGAGGGCTGTCCGGAGTGCCGAGCGGGATGACTAGGTCTGCGCGGGGGCTCGTCCCCAGGGCGGGATGCACAGCCGCGGGCGCGGCGCCCTCGGGCCGGCCGCCGCACCCCTGCCCAGCCCCGCTCACCGAGCTGCACCAGTGCGTAGAGGAGGCCGGCGATCGACACCAGGAAGTAAGCGAGAAACACGTTCTTCAGCTTCAGCTTCATGGCCGCGCCGCCGGCAGCGCCGGGACTTGCGGGGTCCGGTGGGGGTCCCGGGTCTCCGCCCTCCCACCTTCAGGCCCCGCCCCTACAGCGGCCCAGCCCGGCCTCCCGCGCGCTCCGCGCGGCGGGAGGGCTCCCGGGCGCTGGGGCTGTCTGCTCCCGCCGGGCCCACTTCCGGTCAGTCTGCTTTCCCCCTCCACCACCACAAGGTTAATTTCCGGTCCCATTGCTTAGTTCCGGGAACTACGGGGATGAATGACGTCATCTCCGGCATGTCAAGACGCGTGGCCGGTGGTCAGAACCCCTGGTGGGAGCACGTGGGACCTAATTCTAGACCACCAGGAGTGAGGCGTTGCCGGGCAAATCCGGTCCCTGTGCCCAGATTTTCTCCTTATACTCATTCATTCATCCCAAACATCCAATCACAGTTGTTACAGGAATGAACGAAATCTAGGACCTATCATGTACCAGGCTTGTGCTCTGGGAGTCTCTCATGCAATCCTCATTATAATTATTAGGTGGTGGTGTCCCCATTTTATAGATAACTAAAGCTGAGAAAAGTATATAAATTGCCTTTGGGCAACTTTCTTCTGTGTCCCATCTAGGCGTCTGATTCTAGGATCCATACTGTTTCCCCTGCCCATTTTTCACCAGATGACTGGGAGAGGCGGGGGGTATGCCAAGGCTGTGGGCTACCTCCCAGGGAATTGGGAATTCCTAAACTGGTGAATTCCCAGTTGATGATTCCCCCCACATCCTCACAGGCACAAACCATCTTAAGCAGTCATTTTCCCTTAAAAAAAAAAAAAATTTTTTTTTTTTTTGCAAAATAATCTCTTAAGATTGTTCATCAGTCTACAAAATGGAGGAAACTATTTCGTGTGCCTAAAACGATGGGAAATTTTTAAAAAGTGCTGTTAGGTAAAGAAAAGCAGCCTTTACTGCAAGAACAACTAGTCGTAGGATTATTTCTATCACAAAGAGGGGCATGATCATCTCTGGTCACCACTTATTACCCCCACCTGGTGGCGCAATGGTTAAGCACTGAGCCACTAACTGAAAGGTTGGCGGTTCCCACCAGCCACTTCTCGGAGAAAAGACCTGGAGATCTCCTCCCATAAAGATTTGTTGTTGGATGCTGTCGGGTGAATTCTGACTCATAGTGACCCCACATGACAGAGTATGAGAGTAGTACTGCCCCCCAGAGTTCTCTAGGCTGTAATCTTTACAGGAGCAGATCGCCAGGTCTTTCTTCCCCAGAGCCACTGGGTGGGTTCGAACTGCCAACCTTTTGGTTAGCAGCTGAAATGGTTAACCACTGTACCACCGGGGCCTAGGAAACCCTATGGAGCAGTTCTACCCTGCCCTATAGGGTCGCTAAGAGTCAGAATCAACTCCATGGCACACAACTAAAATCTGATAACCTTGCTGGGTTCCTCTATGAAAACAGGAGCATCTAGCAGGCAGAGGAGGAGCCCTGGTGGTGCAGTGGTTAAAGCCATCAACTGCTAACTGAAAGATCAGCGGTTCAAAACCACCAGCAGCTCTGCGGGAAGACAGACGTGGCAGTCTGTTTCCATAGGGATTTACAGCCTCAGAAACCCTATGGGGTCGCTATGAGTTGTAATCGATTCGACGGCAGTGGGTTTGGTGTTTTTGGTTTAGCAGGCTGAGGAAGGCGTGTGTGTGCTCATTTTGTGAGTCAATGAGGTTTACACTGACGCCAGATGTCCTTGGGCTTCTAGGATCTGTGGCTCAGGCCAGAACCAGAATGCAGACACCTGACAGTGTATGGTTCATCTCTTTATTGTTTCTCCTTTTATCAAAACTTGTTGCAGCTGGGGGCCAAGAGGATGTAAAAAAATTCCCACAAATATCCCCCCTCATCCCGTTAGTCCCCTACCCCCACCCCTACCCAGGGTTTCAGGCCGACCCTGGGCACACATGATCATTTCCCCCCACCCTCAGCCTTCTCCCAGCAATAAATACAGGTGACCATGATTCAATGAAACCACAATTGATTTCTCCATCTTGAACGCCCCCCCAAGGGGACAAGGAGGGGGCAAAAGAAGTTTAATGTCCATCCCCTCTTGAGGAATAGAAACTTCTTTCCCCCAAGGGGCAGGGGAGGGAGAACTGCCCCTGGCAGAACTACAAGCAGCTCTAGAAGGAACCAGAAGAGGAAAAGGGCGGGATGAGAGGGAAGAGGATCTTCTCCAGCGAACGCATTCCTTTGATCCATTCATCTTTACCAGGTTAGAATGGTCCCAGTGTATCAGTGGGGCATAAAAAGGGGAAGGCTGACAAGGAAGAACCAGGAGGAAGAAACAGAAGGAGGGAGAGCACTTTGGTGGGAAGGAAATGGGAAGGAGAAAAGAAGCCTAAACTCAACTTCCGAGAAATGGCATCACCACACAGAGGCATGAGTGAATAGGGTCTGGGGAAGGACACTCAGGGCCCCCCAAAGAAGGGAAAGAGGAGGGGAAGCAGGGGCCCTGTGGTCCCCAAGCCTTCACAGGTGATGTGCACCAGTAGGAGCAACAGGATGCTGGGGGATGAAGGGAAAGGTTTGGTGTCAATGGAGTGGGAGAGGTCAGATCACAAGAGGAATTAGGAGCCCAGGGACAGTGCTCTCATCCTGCCCAGACGCTGGCAGAATCTGGGTGACGGGATAAGAAAGGTAAAGTCTGGGGAAGGTCAAACTCCAAGGCAGAAGGAAGAGTAACCATCACAGCACCACTTCCCCAACCTGGAACATCCCTTGGGTTATCGGAGGTGAATGCTCCAGTCAGATGCCACGTTGACGCCAGGCTTGCGCACCACCAGCACAGAGGTCTCAGGATCATGTTGGAAGGACAGGCGGCTTTCAGGAGATTCTGGGGGAGAACGAACAAAGAGGGCCATGGTCAGAGCAACTGCGTGGCCAGTCAGCTGCCCGGCAATCCTGCAGGTTTCCCACAGACAAGGCTGCCCTCAACCCTACTCTGCTTCCCCACTTTCTCCACCCCCAAGATCAGCCCACTCACGCACCTTTTGTCTGGAGTACCACGGCTGCTGGCTTTCCAGCCCCTATTATCACCACCCGCTCAATCCAGATTGGCGTCTCAAAGTGGCCTTTGGGGTCTGCTGAGCTGGAAGGGGCAAAGGCAGATGCCCGTCAGAGGGAACGATGTCAGAGCAGAAGGAAGAGACTGAAGCAAGGTCAGGACGCGAAGGAAGAGGCCAGTGAACTGTGAACATCCCGAGGCCTGGCCCCCCTTCCAGAGGTTGCCAAGGAAGAATGGGTACCCCATTACCTAGAAACAAGGGTGTTGCCAGAGAATGAGAATCGACGCAGCAAGAACTCCTGGCGAGTCTGATAGTTGAATGTGTGTCCATCATCCAGGAAGAGCTCTCCTTGGGCCGTACCCTGGGCAGAAAGGGGAACAGGTGAGAGCCTGAGCCCAAGAGGGAGCCAGGGGTACAGCCCCAAAAGACCGAGTCCCAGGAAGGTAGGCAGATGGCTAAGGAGGCTTCCTGCCTAGGAATTCACCTGGGGACTGAGTGCAACAAAGAGAGTAATGGGGTCCTCCTTCATACAGTCTGAAGAACGCCGCACTCGCATCCACCGAGGCACGACTGTCCCTCCACGCTGGAACACAGGGATCTAGGGCAAGAGCAATGCTGGGATGGAGTCAACCCCCTGTCCAACCTTGGGCCTTCAGTGTCTTTTGCTCTCACCCACCTGTGCCCACTTAGGTACTGGACCCCAAAGCTCATGCTCTCCCCCCTCTGGAAACCTACAGGCAGATGGAGCTGGTAAAGGGGCCAGGCATACTCACACTGCTTAGAGTCACAGGCAGATAAAGAGTCTGGGGACCATGATGCTTCTGGTAGCTCTGAACATCATACCACACCTGTGGGCACCAGAAGAAAGATGATACTGGGTCACTCAGTGCAGAGGGGCCTCCATCCTGTTTGCCCCCTTTGGCTTCTACCATCTTTCCCCACCCTACTCTTCCTGAACTTACCTCCCCTTGGCCAGGCAGATAGACCTGCACGCCATGGGCTCCAGCTTCAGCTACAGGGTGAACCAGCAATGCATCACCTAAAACACACCAGGACAGGATGAGCTCTGAATGGAGGAGATCAGTTCCCAGACCAGGGAACACCAAGGCACATTGTACCACCAGCCTCCTTCCCTGGGTAACCACAGTCATATCTCCACAAGTGCTCACTTCTTCTCAGCCCTATCCCAACCCACCACCAGCTGTCCTCCTCATTTCTCACCAAGCAGGAACTGATCATCTATACTGAAGGTGGTCACATCCTGAGGATACAGCACCCACAGGGGTCTAGGAAGGAAGCAAGACAAGAAAGGAAGAGACTTGCTGTTTTGTCAAAAGTCAAAGATGCTCCCCCAAGAACTGGCAATAAGAACAGCACAGGGTTGGACCCAGAAGCTCGCAGCCAGACAGCCCAGCCTGGTTTCAGACCTCAGCTATACAGCGCAACCTTGGCCTAGTCATTTTAACTTCCTAACTCTTTTGTGCCCTCTTCAAGCTCCTCTGCACAGCTGCCTTCCATTGGCCTCCTCCCACACTGCATTACCCTTCTCTGTAAGACCCTCCAGGTTCATGAATGGAGGGGATCATTTATTTTTCTCTCCAAATTCATATCCCACCTTTCCCTCTCATTCCTTACGCCTGAGACACACTGGCTTTTTTCTATTCCTGGAACACAACAAACTCATTTCCACTTCAGTATTTTTGTACTTGCTATCTCCTCTGCTTGGAACATTCTTCCACTAGATCACAAAAGTCTACCTCACTCTCAACACCCAGGTCTCAGCTCACACGGTCTGCTTCTCAGAGACCTTTTGTGACCACCTAATCCCGTTACCCAGTTTTATGTTCTTCAAAGAACTTATCACTGTTTGCAATTTTCTTATGTATATGTTTGTTTATGAGCTTCCTCACTAGAATGTAAGTTCCACAAGGGTAGGATGCTTGTCTGCCTTCTTTTAGGCTCTGGGGACGCAGTGATTAATAACGCCTAGCACGGGGTAAGCACTCCATAAATGTTTACTGCTATTAATTCATCCTCTTTAGTCTCCCCTTCACCCTTGACCTTGAAATCAGATTTACAAGGCCCTGGTGAGTGAAGAAACAAGCCTAGAGATGGAGCTTAGTCCCCAGTGTGCCAAGCCAGCTCAGCCCACTCCACACAGACGCAATCGATTGCCTCACCTCATGATAGGAACCCCTTCACGATGCGCCTGATAGAAGACAGTGTACCAGAAGGGCAGCAAGGAATACCGCTGGCGCAGGGCATCTCGAAT